GGCCCAGTCAACATTTAATTGTATATTGTAATATTCTCCCTTTGCCAAGCGTGTCTCTTTCTCTCTCCTTTCTACTCATCGTTTCGCTCATTTTTATTTCACCCTCGGCTTCGTCTAATTTGCATTATTTCATGTAGTTTCTTCCTCCGTTGTTTGACCGCCGTGGTACTTTAACCTCCTCCTCCTCCTCCATCCCTTTTGCTCTTCTTATTTCTTTACGGTTTCTCATTATTCTTTGCTTTGTACTGCATCGTTTCGATTCGTTCATTCAACATTTACAATTTTAATTTCACAACAACTTCTTCCTGCTCGAGCTCTCTCCTTTTTGCTTTCGTCCTAAAAAAAAAGAAAAAAAGGAGAACTCTCGCTATTTTCTCCCGCGCAGACTCTCCCCACTGCGTTTGTTTTATTACGTTTATTCTTGCATGTATACACGTCCGTTCCCTCATCCGAGCAGCCGTTACTTCCCTCTCGCAGATATTCTCATTTGCCTTTTCCCCCGCTGCTTATCTGCATTACATCGAGAGCCCCATCCTCCCTTTATACTCGACACCATCACCTCACCTCTTGCCACCCTCGCTCTTCCATCTTCATTTTCGCAGAAGAGATGAAGAAACACTCCGTGGCTCGTGGAATGAAAATGGGCCGGCGTGCACGCGTCTTCACACACTTGTTTTCGTTCCGTTCGCGGACAAACATTTCTCCTGGAGGAAATAAGAGCGAAGAGGAAGAGCGGGGCAGGCCCGAATCCTCCAAGCTGGGGGAGGATTTCTGAAATTCCCATTAACCCTCCGCCTACTGTGCCGCGGTTACAGTTTTGATCTGTGCTGGGAATTGCTTGTGTTAGTGATCGCACTAATATACCTCATTATCTCAACGCGCCACTATTATATCAATTAATAATACGAACGCTGTGTCACGAGTTGTTGAACAATACGCTGCAAGAGCACTATCAACTACCTGTCCGACAGAAAAATTATGAAAATCGCCGAAAACTCGGAAAACCAAATCACTGCGGTATATATTTCTGCGTGTATTTCGCGATTCCCTGGCAGTTTTCCCAGTTAACCCTACTGTGCCAGGGTCACCGTTTTGACCTGTGCTTGATCGCACTAACGCATCATGCGGCTGTGTGCCATGTGTTTGCCAAATTGCCGAAGTGACGACGACTAAAGACGAAAAAAAATCAGTTTCTGGTAACGTTCTGAGGAAGAAAGACATGTGCAGCAAATCGAAGCAATCTTTTGTTTCAAAGTTTACTTCATATTTTAGTGTTTTTATTATTGTTTTAGTATTTTAGCATTTAGTATTTAATAGTTTGTATTATTTTTTTTAGTATTTAGTATTTTACACTATTTTTGTATTTAGTATTTTATATTATTTTCGTGTTTACTATTTAGATTTTAGTTTTTAGCACCATTTTAATATTTTACTATTTTTATTAATTTACTGTTTTTATTATTATTTTTAATGTTCTTTTTATTACTTTTTTCCGTTGTTTCTATTTGTTGACGCAATGTCTTCATTGCCAGCCAGCAATCTTTCTTTGTCTTCTTTTGCTCAATCTGCACAAGACGTTCCTGGCAGTGAATGACATAAATGTATAGTAAATATACATAACTTTATTATTCATGTGACTATATTTATTATACATGTTCCTATATGAGTCGGATGTCTGTCACTGTGTTGATACAATATCGGTGAGGACCTCGTCACTCTGTACAGTATCGGTGAGCCGTCCGGACAATCCTAAATATGCATTAGTGGCATATCCGTGTGGGTCAAAATGACCCCGGCACAGGACGCTGAGGTTCAGTAATCGGAGGGTTAATTTCTGGCAATTCCATCGCGTGGCTTGGCATTTCATTCAATTCGAGATCCTCATTTCCTGCGTATTAATTTCGTTTCGAAGTGATCGTTTTAATCTTTGCGCTTTCGAGCTTCAGCTATTTTCTTTTCCTCTCTCGACCTATCCACGGATGTTCATCCTGCGAGACAGTGATTACGTATTTAACCTCTTAACAAAGAATATTATGAATATTATTAGCAAGAGAGATATTTAGAAATGACGTAAGAAGAAGGAGTCGACTCTAGTCTCAAAATATAAATCTTTAAAATCGTTAAAAATTTGCAAACATGTTTCACAAATTTGATTGAAGTGAACATATTGTAATTATTCTTCTCGCACGACGAGTGTATTCGTCGTCACGCAAAAAGTTGCCACTTCCTCGTGACACGAGTATACTGTTCGAGAATTCACAGTTAAGAGGTTAAAGAAATTCATTCTCGAAGACTTTCACTTGCCAAAATTCTAGAATGGTGTTTCCATGGATTGTTCGCCAAATCTTGAGCTATGTAGTCTCTGCATGTAACCTATTCTCGTATTCCGTTCGCGTTTAAAAATGATATTCAGCGGCGAAACGGTCAAAGAGAAGTTTCGTGACCGAGAGACCAAACGTTGCTATCGACCAGTTTGGCCATTCCTGCTTGGTCCGGAGTAAACCGGCCAACGTGCAGAGGTCAATAGCAACGGATTCCAGTATCGTGTTCTCATCTCCGCAACGTTTGCCGCGCGCAGACCTCGTGGTATAGATTCTGACAACATTTGACAGAGCGAATCGGAAATCGGTAGCAGCTGTTTCCATTTACGCGTCAGAAGTAGTCGCGAAAAAACGCTTTGACGCTGGACAACGGGGTGTTAATTAAACGTGCATTTCCCACCCGCAAGCTAAGAGAAAAATACCATGGATATCACGTTTCTCACATTCTAGGAAGAAATAATTCCAAATAACAGTTTCACAATAAAATTCAAGATTTTTTTTGCCAGAAATATTAACACTATATTCGAGCAATATTTCGCATGACTATGGCCGGCATTTTTTTGTGAAAATAGTATATAGAACGAAATTGAAGCAATTTTATTATATTATTACGAAGAGGTTCTGAAAAATATATATATTTGTATACTAAGAAAATTAAATACAGGTATATATATTTGTATATCAAGAAAATATAAGTATATATTTGTATACTAAGAAAATTAACTATAAGTATATATTTGCATACTAAGAAAATTAACTATAACTATATATTTGCATACTAAGAAAATTAAATACAAGTATATATTTGCATACTAAGAAAATTAAATACAAGTATATATTTGCATACTAAGAAAATTAAATACAAGTATATATTTGCATACTAAGAAAATTAAATACAAGTATATATTTGTATACTAAGAAAATTAAATACAAGTATATTTGTATACCAAGAAAATTAAATACAAGTACATATTTGCATACTAAGAAAATTAAATAGAAGTATATTTGTATACTAAGAAAATTAAATACAAGTATATATTTGCATACTAAGAAAATTAAATACAAGTATATATTTGCATACCAAGAAAATTAAATACAAGTATATATTTGCACACTAAGAAAATTAAATACAAGTATATATTTGCATACTAAGAAAATTAAATACAAGTATATATTTGCATACTAAGAAAATTAAATACAAGTATACTAATAAAATTAAATACAAGTATATATTTGTATACTAAAAAAATTAAAATAAACAACGACGAAAGTGATATTTTTAAACATATACGTAGATTTAATAATTTTTTTTCTAATGATGAGATTCAAAACATTTCTTCCCCCTTATAAAGTAATAAAACATACTGTCGTATCTGTGCACTCAGATCGAGATTCAATTTTCGTGAATTTATTTATAAACAGCGGAAAAACGATTCGTTTCCAGAGATCGCGCTGGTATACTTCAGCTCGCCGAAATGGACAACGAATGTTTAAAAAGCGCGTTCGTTAACGAAATTCTCAGCCAACTAAAAGCACGGAGCAGAACGCGTTTAATTAAACGAAGTTGTCCGTGTCCCGCCCTCACTTTGTGCGTTAACAATGCAAATATTAATGAATAATCCGAGTAAGACAACCGGTTGTTGTTTCTGTTTGAATCTCGGCCTTTCGTGCATTCAACAGGGAGACGCGGCTCCGAATCACGGCTCGCACAAAAGCCCAACATCAATTCGCGTCCTCCTGGTGTAAAAACAAGAGTGGTCCGAGAAAGGGGGTGGTGAGGAGGTTGGAAAAGATCCTGACGCGCGTGCATTTTTCCCGACCGAGTGAGAAATGCCGGGATACACCTCTCTTGTAAGCTGTAATTAATATTCCTCGCAATTATGTCAGGAGGCTCGAAGATCCGACAAAACAAGCCAGAGCCTGATGAATTTACGGGCAAGGGAGAAAGGGAAAAAGCCCTCGGTAACTGCGAAAAGAAACGCGATAAACAGCAGCCGCGTTAATTAATTTGCTAATTAGAAACGGGAGGGAGAGGGGAGGGGAGGGGGGAGGGGAGAGGTTAGCCAGTCCGATCGATGCCAGTTAGAAATTTTCCTACATCCCTCATCACGTTCTTTTCTTCGCGTGATTTAGAGAAGCCTCGTAAAGCCTTTTGAATTCTCGTAAGTACGCTTCATAGAGTTATAATAACGTTTATACTCTTTCTGTGCTTACTCCGAGACGCTTTTTCGTACGGCTGCGCTTTCGTTTCGATTATTTTTTTAATCGAAATGTAGTAACTCAGACTGACAATGAGTCTGGATTTTGTGGGGTTTTTGAACTCTCAAAATCGGTGACGATTAGTGCGAATAAAAACGCGCAGGCTTCTCTCAAAGCTGAATTTCAAAAATACGGGAACAAACGTTTGCGTGCGCCTAATTTTCTTCGCCGACTGACACGAGTCTCGTTAAAAATAATTGTTTGTCCGCGTTAAACGCGTATCCGATAATTGAAATAATCGCTGGTTAGTAACAATTCCAACAATTCCCTACGGTACTGACAGATAAGATTAGTTATTTCTAACGTTCAATTTGCAATTGATCTCGGCCCCTCTGTTCGTTCGTTCCAAAACAGAGAAACGGAGGAACGAATCTATTCTATGGATAGACAGAAAGGCAGAATGCAGATCGTGTGTCTCACCTGAATGACAGTCGCCAGAGGACTTTTATTGGCCGGATAGTCGAGGCTGTCCCGATGCGCCCAAGCCAGCGGCTCATAGGTGCTGTGATTGGCCTGAAAAATGGTCCAGTCACCGCCAGGAAGTGGTCCCCAGGCTGTTTCTCCGGATCTGGTTAATCGGAGGATAGGGGACGCCGCGTTCAGCTGTGCATCCTAAGGGAGGAAAGACCGATCTCATTTTGTCCGCTATTCGGGCACTTGCTCGGCGATACGTGAGTCGTTTTCCCGATCCTTTTCTTTTCTCTTGGCTTTACGACAGAGAGTGGACATCGAAAATGTCGCCAAGTACTTCGTTTCCTTTTCTTTACGTCGCACTTTGATCAAATAATCAAATAACGCTTGACTCACGACCGATCGTTTGAGAAATAAAAAAAAACCGATTAAAACTGTGATATTGATAAGATTCAATACTTTAATTTAAAAGAATTACTACTGCACTAGTAAAATATGACAGCCAGTATCGAGGTTGCTGTAAGTAGAATAAGCAACTGTCAGACAGCCGAAGGACATTTGATTTATCACAGTTGTAGCATCGGTGTGAGTCTAAATAATCAAATAACGCTTAACTAAGCTAAAACTAACCGTTAACCATTATTCGAAATATAAACATTACATCCACATGTCCAGAACCATAAAGTGTTAACTGATTAAGAAATTTTTTTGCCATTTTTCGCAGTCGAATTATACGATTCCCTGAAAATTACCTTATCGTGATGAGTAAAACGAATACAGGTCCTTTACACGTATATCCATCAAATCGAAGGTGTAGAACTCATTTATAACAGCCACGAACAAACTTTCCTTTCCACCCTATACGTACGTACGTACATATGTACGTGCGATTCGAGTGAACGCTGAAAGAAACGAGCAAATCGCAGAGCTACTATCCGGCCAGTAATCGCAGCGTGCAGACACGCGCGATTTCGCGCGGTATGCAAATTGATTCACCGCGGTGAGCCTTTCCCGGGTTCAAAGAGGCACGTTTATCGTACCGCTATTGATGCTTTTATTACGACGTTTCCACGAACGTTTTCTTACCGGGGCTCCCTGCCGGCGTAGCGATTTTTCCACGTAATAAACCTCAAGCCGTTTTGTCACGGCCACGGAGATTGCCAATCCGAGCTGGCCTGGCCTCGTCATCGGCCGTCTCCTCTCGTCTTGGCCAACGAGCATTCTAGTTCTCGGGAAACCCGTTATCGAGCACCGCGGCTAGCGAAAATTTATTTTCCCGGCCGGCCAATAAAACTACAGGGGGAGGAGGACTACTCTCGCGGCAACGTTTCATTTCGTTGAATCGTTTCAACCAGACGCGATCGTAAGATCGATCGGGCGAATTCCATTTTCCAACTTTCTTTCAGCGTTCCCTCGTTTTCAGAGATTTTTCTCTCGATCCGCGACGCTCGGTGTTACGTTATTTTGAATGTGAATCGCGACAGCGGGAGAGAAGTGCAAGGGACGATTTGTTTCTCTGTAGTAGTTAGACGATATCGTGATTCATTTTGCGAACGAACCTTCAGTCTGAGATTAGTGTGCACGAAGAGAGGAAAGCCCTTCAGCTGCGCACCGACGAGACTTTCTTCGCCGGACGGCGCAAATCCCACGATGCCCACCGAATACTCTCTGCAATATTTGTCCAGCAACTCGCGGTTCCACTTATCCATCTGCAGATACTTGTTCAGGTTCTCGAAGATCAGCACCCCGTATCGACCTTTGTCCAGGTTCGTCAACACGGGTAGGGACTTGCCAGCCACTTCCAGCTTGTACCTGAAATCACATTTCATCGTGCCGTGCGTTAGTTGAAATTTGAAGCAGAATTGCTCGTCTATCTATAATTACTTTAGGTTAGTTTGAATCAAAGTGTAGGGGACACGACCAAGGCACCTTCTTAAATATAACTACAACGTGGATCCAGAACGCACTACCGTCAGGACCACGAGGTAATTGTCAAAAACCGCAAACTGTGAGAAAAACAATATACTTTCCGATCTCTTGACTGGAAAGGATACAAAGAGAGTCAGGATATATACAGGGTGTTTTGTAACTTATAGGACCCACAAATATATGTCTTATCTGTCTTCGTTTATGAGATATAATGAATTTTATAAACAGAGCAAACTCTAGTAAGCTAGTTTTACCAGGGATGGTATATTCAATTTTCATAATAATCATAATTGGGATGAAGAAAACCC